ATGCCTTTGGGAGCATTTTTAATTGTCATTAATTCTTAAATGACCTGATGTCCTGCTGTGAGTTACAAACCATTCAAGTAGTTGCTTTAGTTTTGATAAGTGAAATTCTAGAAATGTGTCAGTCTTTTACTTATCCCTAATTAGCTAAATTACAATGCACTTATATTTAGTGTTCTAATTTTACCTAGCACTTTTGACTCTCATTCAAATATGGCAATCTCTGTTTGCTCCAAAAAAGTTATACAGTCCAACCAAAACACTTGAAAATGCAGAGCCCAAAACCAATGGGTGGCATCAAAATAATGGTATCCATCTTTTATATACATTCTATGCTTTAAATGATCAGCTTCAACATGTTTTTAAATAATTATTTCCTTAATCTTGACTCTGTAATGTCAGCAAGTCCCTATTCCCTAATAGTGCCTTCTCAGGCACTATGGATTACATAAAAAAGCCCCATCCATCCCACCGTTCAAATCCTTTGTTTGTGAGGGGTATTGAGACAGCAGTTCTGATTTATAATAATTCATGTCTACTATAAGCATTGACTCAAAATATGATCAGCACTCTTTGTTCCCAGCAGATAAACACTGAAGATAAAACCTTAAAGGGATAGTCCACCCCATATACATCTTTCCAGTCTGGTCCTGGTGACTCATCTAGTGTGTCTAGTTCAGTTGAAAGAATTGTTTAGAAGAACCAGGTCGTGATTTCTGTAAAGAGATGCTGTGTGCTGTTGATGCTTTTTGGCTGCTTTGAGGACTACAAGGCAAGTAGCTTTTGTTTTTATTAAATTCAAGAGGATGTAGACATCTCTACAGTCAATATTGCCAGAGGCAACCTACACCAAAAATAATCTAGATGGACAAATGAATAAAATATTCACATAATTTTGGGATAGATAACTGTAGCTTGTGTTGAGATGGCAACATCGTCAGAACATTCATTTCTATCAATTCCATCCTATTTACTCAGTCAGTCAGTCAGTCAGTCAGTTAATTATGACTCTTCCAACATTTTTATATCTTGTCTGCTTTACTTTTAGTAATTTTGCCTTTGCCTCATCAGCTTCTTAGTCACATTTGCAGAACTAATCTGTATAAAAGGTACAGATAAAGTTTTGAATGCCCAAATGTGGTAACCCTATGATGTGCTTTCATTTGCTTTATTTTCTTCCGCCTCGCTCCGACGTTTTATTGCTCAATGATTAATTTTTATTAATTCCATCTGGTCACTTTTAGTTTTCTCTGTAGAGTCTTTGGAGACACACTTGAAAGCTTCTGCAGAACACAACTGCAACGGTTTATTGATGATCATAATTTATCATCAGAGGAGAAAAGTGTTCTAATCATTTTCGTAGTTATATTATTTATAATGTTTAATCCAGATGTCTTTAAGCTAAGAGCCTGGTTATGATTTCCGGGATGTTACGGTCTTTATTCCTCATGGGGGCCACAATCGTTGAGGCAGTCTTATTGGATATTATGTTTTGCGTTTGTCTTTTTCAAATCACTCTCTCCTCTCTCGATACAAAAATAAATCAGATGAAATTAAATTTGCATTCCCAGTGAGTGTCTGGAAGATAATGTAGCTGTGTCCTTACATTCTGCTCCAACACAGTGACTACAGAGGCCACTTATTTCTCTGGGATGCCTTGTTGGACGTGTGCCCAGGCAATGGTCATTGGCCCACTGGTTTGGCATAGAGTTCCCGTGGGCAGCAGCTCAGCTTGAAAATGTGAGTCTATGGATCACAGTCAAAAAAAAAAGGAGAAGAAAAAAGCACAAGGCTGCCATAGCCTGCAGGGAATGTCAAATTACAGGATGGAATACGAGATGAAACAAAAAGCACAGATGATCTATGTGGTATAACACTTTTGCTTATTTTTTTATTTATTTTTTAACCATTCAAGCAAAGAATTTTTAAATAAATCTGGACTGCTCGTGACATCACAGTCTATAGGTTTTCTTTGATATATGTGCATTCATTTTTTTGTGTACACATATTTTTGCAGTATTGATTATGTGGTTCATTTATCAGGAGTAATGAGGAAAAAAAAAACACACATGCAAAATTAAAAGGAACCTTTTAAGCTTATTTCCTACGCTATATTTTTATTTTGTAGCTTTGCATGATGGACAGATCAAAATAACACTCACTTACTTTGATGGTTAATTTGTTCTCTTTACGTTCCCAAGTGTTGTTTTAGTGACTCCAAGGCTACTTTAGCAACCCCCAAAGAAAAAAAATAGTGCCAAAAGTTTGCAAAATGCATCTGATCAAAACCAATATTTCTGAAACAATGTCCTTTGAATAATCAATACCAAAGTGGAAATGTTTGAGTGCTATGCACATTGTCAGGTTTGAAAAAAATCCAACACAACATATCAGTACAAACATTTCATACCAACTCTCAAGCACGTTGGTGGAGGGGTGATGATTTGGGCTTGTTTTGGAACCACATGACCTGGACAATGACTTGTGGTCATTGACTCGCCCATGAACTCCTCTTTATGCCTAAATATTCTAGACTTGAGTGTGAGGCCATCTAACAGCTAAAGTTTGACACAAACTGAGTCATTTAGCAAGACAAGCACAGCAGCAGTTCTACAACAGAATGGCTTAAAAAGAAAAGAATCAAAGTGTTGCATTGTCAACATCCACACCTCAACTTTAATTGTGAATTTGAGGACTGTGCCTAAACAAATGCCCCATGTTGCACAATGATGTGAGAGATTGATAAAGTCATGCAGAAAATACTAGCCTCTACAAGCTACTAAATCATGCCGTTTTCTTAGTTTTTCACACACAGTTTCTGTCGCATGGCTTCATTTTCATTAAATTAAATATTGTCACAGTGTAACATTTGTTCACCTGAAACTGTATTTACTTAATACAGACCTGATAAGGGCAAGATAATTTTTTGTGTTCTGTTGGTTAAAACCATAGAACTAACAAAGGCTGTACTTGCTCTTGCTCTTGACGAAGGCGGTCACACTTTTTTCCTCTCCTCCTCTCCCTTAGCTTCCCTGCTTAGCCTCTTATGTCCTTGTCTAGTCTCGTTGTTTTTTGTATTACTTTTCCCTGGAACACTCTCTCACAGTCTGTTCTCTAAAACCTAAAAGAGGAATTATGGATTGGATCAACTGGTCCCTAAATGCAATTGACACCCCTTTCTCAACGAGAAGTTTGGGCTTGGGTGAGCCTGAGTGCTGAAGATATCTACCTATTCGGAACCATGGTAACAGGGTTCTGGCTGATCGGAGCTGGCTTGGCCCTGACTTATCAAAGAATTTAGGAAGCAGAACTGGCTCTTCAAACCCCCACAAGGCTGCCCGCTGGGATTGAAACGATGGGAAGAGGCGTGAGTTTCTCAAAATGGGCTCATTGAGTGCAGCACGGATAAGATCTTGGAAAGGCTACGGCTGCTGTGAATACTCAGAATAAGATCTCTGAGTGCAGACTGGATTACATCTCTGAAGGGCTAGCTCGGAATAACATCTCTGAGCGCAAATTGGATGACATCAGGCACACTGTCGTGAGTTCCCAGAATCGGCTCCTTGAGCACAAGAAATGACAACATCACAGAACGCAAGTATGGCGAAGCTCTCCAACGGGAGATTGAGAGACCAGTGTTGGACTGTAGAACTGCTTTGAAATTCATATGAGCTGTTCGTACTAAAGTAAAAAGCACCATCACTTCATGCAGATACCCTCTCGGCGCCAGCTGCGGTCGCAAGGCTGGAGCCGAACAAAAACACCCTGATAATGACTGTTCCTTCCCATTCCATGGAAGACCACCTGGGTTGGATGGAGGACTGTTTACTTAGCCTAGCAGGGTGAAGGACACTGTCTCAGCTGAACTCTGGACACGCACACACATACATATATACACTGATATGCACACACTCATCCCCCTCCCTTTCCAAACGCCTTCGACGCTTATTCGCCTTCCGATGCTGACAGTGGATCAAGGAGACCAGCACACAGGCTGCAGGCCCGGATGTACTGTCTAAATCGGCCGTCTCTCAAACTTTACCCACCCCTGTTTCTTGTCATGTGTTTCTTTGATGTATTAGGAGTTTTTTTCATGTGCTATGTTGCAGAGGTGTTTTTTTCTGTTCTCCCTGTTGGAGCTCAGTCTGGGGGGAGTTATTTATCTTATCTTTCCTCATGTGGTGCATTTTCCATTGTTATACCTCTCTGACCTGTCTTCCCCATGTGATGTTTTGTTTTTTTCATTTCTATTTCCTTTATTATTCTTACAGTACGGGAACTTTCAGTGTTGTGAACTCACTGCCAGAAAATATAGAATCATGACCGAGGTGAGTCTTAACTGCTGTGTATGTATTTTTTTCTAACCTCCTGGTTGGAAGGAAAACCCACTACTGTGAGAGGCAAGTCTCCTCTGCCCACTCGAGGTCTGGCAGCTCATTAAGGCCTATTCTTGATCATGTGTGAGAAATTGCCCGCAGGTAACCGAGCCTTTCCAATTTTTTTTTCAGGACAGAAATGTGCACAGAAAAAAGAGAATTCTTCAGCCGCTGTATGAACTGGTTAAATCTGGGATGGCTGTGTCTCCAGCGTTACAATATTTGTAGGAGCGTGTCCCTCCATTATATGCAGCTCAGCTTGCATCATTCACCAGCACCCCTGCTTCTACCTGCCTCCCAGCTCCCATTTTCTCACTCCTAACTTCATTTTTGTGTGTGAGACATTTGAATTTTCTAGGGGACATACAATGAGGGTCTACAATATGGATTATTGCTTCATGCTCTCTTTGACGTGCTGTATTAAATTTTGCTGTCAGGATAGTGTGAATCAAAATTTTTTTTAGCTCTTTTTACTTGAGAGACATGGCAAAGTCATTCACAAATAGGTTTTAATGTTTTATTTCAGCTGTCCAGAGTGCCAGCTGTGTCTAATGCAATATGAGGCACAAAATAAAGTTTTAGAAAACACTCAAATGTTATATGTGTATTTTTTATTTATTTATTTTGTTTACAGAGAAAAAAAATACTGCTACCCAGGGATAGCAGACCCCCATAGATAACAGAGTAGCCAATAATGACAACTGCCATTACATTGAATTATTTGCACAAAGCATGAAAATGTAGAGCTGGAGCGGTGCTGGGTTGCAAAGCAATTTTCAGATGCCCAGCTGTAGACAGGCTATAATCAAATAACCTGCCTTATATGCGATCTGCTAATATGGAAACATAAAAGGGTATCAGCTCAGCCATAAATTGATGTGGGCCAGCTGATCTGTTGGGATAGTAGCTAAGCTTCCCTTTGTGGCCTGTCTGAGCAAACTAATGGCTCACTTACACAAGACTGAAAATAGCATCCTCCATGTGACTAGAGAAGGGGGGAAAAAAGGGAAAAAAAATCAGTGGTTGCCCAGTGATTGCATTGAATTTTTGGTCATCGAAGGATTGCCCAAAAAATCAAACTGTAAGGCATTTGCACAGGTAGCCTGATGAGAGGCAACCTGTCTCTAAACATTCACACTTGGACTGTCTGCAGTCACTTTCAGATTTGCAAATAATTGTTGTTTAAATTATAAATGCAGACAGATTGCCAACACTCTAAATGGGTTAGAGTCAGTCTGAGTGCAACTAGCCTGCTATATACACATTGATTCAACTGGTTACCAGTGGGTTATATTCTGATTATATTTCAATATAAAAACAAAGTTGCCGAGCGCCTATGTGCACAAAATGAACAATCTTACTGTTCATTGTGTAAGCTGTGGCTCGCATTAGTATTAACTGTTACAAGTCACTAGTCTATGAACATGCAGTGTTCCTCAATTTCAGATCCACCCCTGGTTTCAAAGGACCAAGAAAATGCTCAAGTTGAACCATCACAATAGGACCTTGCTTACAAGTGGGTAATATCAAGGTGGCTATGTCTGTCTGTCTTTTATGTAGAGTCTGTTCTAATCTGGAATTCTAAAGTGTAAAGTCTTCAGAGAAACAGTCAACCCATGTAGGGCGGTTTTTGTTGGTTTTTTTTGGCATTGATATAAATTAAAAAGTGGACATGAAAAGAAAAAAGATCAGTATTAGAAAAAGAAAACATTCTTAAGTAACAGCAAAACCTTTGTGCTCGAGCACGGCAGAGATATTTCACAGCAGTCAGCTTCATCCTCTGCTGCTCTGAGATTTACCACGTCTGGCAAAGAGACTTTCAGTCTTCAAATGTCCCCCGTTCTACATTCAGGCATGTTCTGTTTTTGTGAAGAAATCTCAGATTCAAAGATATTGGATATTTTTTTGCGGCGTTTCCACTCTAAAAATATTAATATCTTCAAGAACAAATACCCCTAATCAGCCTTACCCCACTGTGAAGGGGAAAAGAGAAGCCCACAACAGATTTTGTGTTGTTCCATTTGTTAGAAATAGAATAGAAGTCACTTTATTGGTTTACTGAATAAACTGACATAAACATGTCTCTCACAAAGCAACCAATTGACTTACATGAAAATGGCTTTGCCCTTGGTGCTCTTCAGACTTGCATTTAGGATGATTGGCCATAATTTAATCAAACTAAGAATCGATGGTATGCTTAAACTATTAACCAGCATTCTCAAATTGCTTGAGACAGCAACAACAAAAAAGCACTGCGCTTGTCTCTGATTTGCTTGAATGTTTATTACCTTATTCTTTAAAAGACAGAGAGATCATTTTTTCCTTGAGTGTAAAAGGAAAGCCGCTAGGGACGCTGGCTTGAGAAGACAAACAAAGGAATATTGGTTTTGATGCGAGGCCAGAAGGGCTGCATGTGGTTGCAGAAGTTGGGAGATTTAAGCACAACTTTATCTTTATCTCTGCAGCACAGTTATCTCTTTGAGAGTTATCCAAGCAGCACGCATCATTCATCGGTGCAGCACGGAGGAATGCATCATACAATCATTGAGTGATTGTATCCCCTGTGTAGTGAAGCAAAGGGACTGATTTTCCTGGCGGGCAGACAGACAGACGGATGGACCTATGCGCAGAGATAATAAAGGAAAAAAAAACAGAATTGGAAAAATTTAATCACTTGCAGCCTTCCGTTTGTGTGTTATTATTGTGGCAGATATGTGTGGGCCCAGTTTACAGGGAGCATCTAGAGAATTATCTCGCTCAGCTGGAGTCTCATACATACAGCTTCAATGCAGTCCCGGCAAATAGATCAAAACCTTGCTGAGCTTTACAAAGGCTTTTCCAGCCCCTCTTCCCTCTCTGATATTCAGAATAAACCCACTATAGACAAACAAAGCACCTAACTGCACGCCTGTCTTGCTAGCATGTGTGCTTTCATGCATAGGCAAGGTAAATGTACATAGACTTATATCCCTGCCCCCTCATTCGGTGCAATAACAATCATGCTGCAGCGAGGTGAGAAAATTCACTACTACCTAGACCTGTCTGAGTGTCTGAAAACTAAAACAATTCATGAGATTCTGTAATCCTTGGGTGAATTATTGACCCTTGCTTTAGTGGAGGTACGTCAGAGACTGCACTGTTTTCCTTCCATCACACCCAAACACAGAGTCAGACACAAACACAGACAAATGTATACACCCAGTCAGTGCTGCACAGGGTAGGTGGACCGGATATCACACTCCTCTGCACTTTGCTACTTTATGAAACATTACCCTGCACAGCAATATGGTAATACACTGCATAATGCACGCACACTGAACAACCCACACAAGCAAATTACCTAGGAGTGCAGCGGGCTGCCATTGTACTTTGCCACTGTGCTGTATAGTGCAGATAGCAGCAGCCAGCCAGCTAGCAGGAGTGGTTGGTGCGAGGTTAGGTAAGGTGGCTTTGGCCACAGTACGCCACCGATCAGCTGGGGAATAGCCAGAGGCAGCGGCATGATGGGTACTGGAACAAATGCGAAGGGAAAAGAGGCTCAGGGTCCCGCAGTCCCAACTCGAGCTGACTCCACATCGGCCTGACACATGGAGCCTGCATGTCGAGAAAGAAATGAGACACATGAAGAGTTACAACAAAAGGGAAGAGCGGGTGAAAGGACTGAAGGTGACTGAGGGAGAAAAAAGGGAGTGGGGTGTTATTGAGTGTGCACATGAGGTCAACAAGAGTGGCCAGAAAGGCAGGAAACAGGCAGGAAACAAGCAGACTTCAGCTGCAATGCTACTTTAGAGTTTCTGACAGATGCTCACAGACAAACACTCCAAATATAGCAGCTTGTACACTCACGCACACATTCACAAGGTGCCTGTGCATGTTTGTATACGATGGTAAATTATCCATAAAGATTGGATTCATTCATTGTACCGTGCTAGCACAAATATAGAGCGCTGGAGGGAAAACGGTTTTTGGAAGACAGCCCTAGAAGTTGGCACCATCGTGGTTCTCTCAGTGGAAAGCACTCATTTATGATACTTGATATGTGTGTTGTTCAGCAAAATAATCTCTATAAATCTTATAAACTTTGAAGTGTAAATGCAAGAAGTCATAGTGTCATAGTAGTTTATCTAAAGCTGAGCTATAAAAAAGCATCACAGTGGCATCACATTAATGCCACCACCATCAAAGTCCTGTGTTCGGCATGAGGATTGGAGTAGTCTTCAGTGTATTTAACACAGCGTATTTTGATTTATAAGACAAAATCAGAAATTGTCCAAATCTGGTCATAACCACAGACGTTTAGGTAATTTTAGATAAATTACTAAAACCCATTAAAACATGGGTTATACAGTCAGACTCACACTATGTAACATAGTTCTGAAATGCTAATAAAAATAGCTTTTGCTGTTTTTTTTCTACCCTTCCTTCATCGAATTAGTAGTTCGAAAGCTATTGCTAGCTATGTACTAGAACGCTATTGCTAGCTACTTCAGTCAGGCACTTGCTAATATAATATTCTTTATAGCTTTCTGAGTTATATACGTTCCACTAAGACACAAGATCACATGATCTATATGACTTATTAGCGGTAGTTTGCAACTGTTAATTACAGATATGTTTCACTCTTTTAGCGAGCTAAATTTATTTTTTACTAGTCTATGTCAGTGCACCCTATGTACAGTTAGCAATTACACATATTAACTGAAAGCAGCCTTAAAGTGACATTTTGATTTTTTTATTTCAAGGGATTTCTTTAGATTGATCAACCAAACATCTGGCCTTGTGACTTTGCTTCAAGATAGAATTTCTGTAATTTCTTCTACTCCCCAAGCACCCTCAGGTTGACCCCCCCCCCCCCCCCCCCCAATTGGCGTGCTCTTTGTTTTCTACCCTCCCTGTCATGGTCCTGGGTCGGTGACCCAGCGCTTTTAGTTATCATTTTCTAGTTTATGATGATGATGATTATTATTGTTTGAGTTCTGTGTGTTATATTTGGTCTGCCTTTGAGTCTGTCTCTGTCTATGGTGTCACCCCATCTGTTTGTGAATCTGTCTGTTTAGTTCAATGTCTTGCCTGGTTCCATGTGTCTGAGTTTCCTGTTTTATTGTGAAGGTTTGTGTCATATGTGAGTGTGCTCAGTTACGTTTCCCCTGTCTCGTCAGCTGTGATTTCTCCCAGGTGTGTTCCCCTTCTGTCTCTCATCCCTTGATTACTGCCGTCTGTGTATTTAAGCCCTGTGTTTCTCTGTGTCAGTGTCGCGTCGTACCCTCAACTAGCTGTGTGTTCTGCTTCTATGTCCCTAGTGTTTGGTCTCCTGCTCCAGTTTAGTGTTTCTTTCCAGTGTTTCAGTCCTTGGTTCCTCTGTTCTGACTTTTGGTTTTCTTTTGGTGAGTTTAGTTTGTACGAGGTTTTTCCCAGCAATAAAGCTGCGCCTTAAGTTTCACTTCCGTGTCTGAGTTCTGCATTTTGGGTCCACCACTCCTGCTTGCCTGCCACACAGCGATTCATGACACTCCCTTTTTCATTGTCAGGATTAGAAGAGATTAAAACATAAAGCTGTCAAAAGTAAAAGATCATTAGATCAGACTTATCTTTAGCACACATACAGCGTTTAATACTTTTATCATGTGACGGTACGTCAGTTTAATGTCTGCCATGAGTGCGTATTTATCGCATTTGTCTGAATTTCAATACATTAAACAGCCAAAAGGAAATTAATTATGAAACATATTCAAATGAATAAAAGGAAGATACAATGCCCCTGTAGGGTTCTTGTTGCTTTTTTAGGCTTAATTACGGCTTGTAATGCAATATGTTAATAATATGTGGCCTGTGCGAATGTTCCCTGATTAAAAATCCTCCCACGCTGCCTTTTGAACTGGTGGAGATTTGAAAAGCCGCTCTTAAAAATGGTTCTTCACGTTGGAAATGTTTTGGAATATTTGCCCCTGTGGCTTGATCAAACAGCTCGTAGTGAATTATCAAAGTAAAAGCCCCTTCAGTCAGACGCTGCTTTAGCAATAGGGAGGCGTTATAATGGAGAGGGCCCTCTTGAAATGCAGGCTTTCCAAAGATATAGAAAGAATGGCAGTGGACGCGTGAGGGCGGTAAAGAAAATTAGGCTGGACCTAACGGGAAAGAAGAACAGTGACAGGATTCGAGGAGGAAGTCAGTGCTTGAGTTTTTAGAGTTAAAAAGACAGGCCCTATCTACCTTGTGGGAATTTTATTACGGTAATAAAGTGCTTTAAGACAAACAGAACAAGGCTGAACACTGAAGAACACCTTCATTTCCTCACTGTCCTCACTATGGGAGCCCTATTTAAATCACTATTCTAAACATAGCTGCAGTACCCTTACTCATTCTGGTCACATTTGAAAACTTCACCTTTTCCTGAACTCCAGTTTGACTCTGATTGTTTACACACATTAAATAAAGCCCAACTTTCAACCTCTCTAGGCTCATTTTTCATGCCATTTTGCATCCTCCCAGTCTGCACTGTATCCTGAAAAAATAAATAAATAGGGGAGACATTCACTGTAATGAGAGCTCCGGGTTGGATGAATTCAATCGTAAAGGCTCCCACATTTGGGATTTTTTTTTCTTTCCTTTTTTTTAAAGAGTAGCCTCCTGCTATTTTAATTTGAATAATGCAACCATCAAATGGTTTGGCTTGGAGCCATCACATTAGTTCCTCTAGTCCTCTTCTCTCTTATATGTAGCTCTATTCCCCGTTCCGCCTCACATCTAACCGTCTATCCACAAGAGATGACAAACAAAACAGAAAGATCTCAACAAGTGAACATCAAAAACCTACATGCTGACTAATATAAATAAATAAAAGAGAAAACCTGGATATTTCCGCTATCCACTCATCCCATCCGTTCAGGGTGAAATACTGATGGTTGTAGCTGCACTTAGATTGACATCTCTAACAAGACTGTAGCACAGCAGTTATTTCTTCAGTATCGTATATGTTTCCCATAAATTAGATAGCAAGCATTTACAGCAAGCACAGAAGATTTACAACAAAAGAGGCTACTGCTGGTATTTTTAACAGTGCTGCATTTCTCCTCAGAGCTACATACAAGACTCCCTCATGACGAAAAGGTTAAGATCCTCACGGTCTGCTCATAAGACAGTGATATTTGAACAGCCAGTACCATCCAATCACTATTCAGTTATTCAGTGATTTGAAACTCTGCCTGTATCTCCCACAGACCCCAAAAGGAACCAGCATTAGACTGCCTACATTCTTCACCAGGGTTGCCAATAAGCTCTGCTCCAAGGGCACAGCTGGACTAAAAGACTAGTTCTTTTCTACATTTATTCTCTAAGCACAGCCAGAAAAAGCAGTCTGTTGTATTTCAACTGATGTACTCTATACTCTTTGGATTCCCTCCAGCCATAAAAAACCAGTAGGTCACTTTTCTGAAAAAGCTTGACCAATAACATCTATTTAATGATAAGCCCTATTTCCAAATACCCTGTTTCATGAAACGTTTAAGGGAAAAGTACTACCCTCAATGTCAAACCTCCTTTAGAAATAGCCATCACATACGAGAAGCTTAAATTGGATTTCCCTCCACTTCACAACACTCAAACCGCTATTCGTCAAAGTATTATAATATTTATTGAAAGCTCATGTTCATGATTGTTTATTTTATATTCATCTTGATCTCAGCTCAGCGTTTAATACTTTTGATCAGCTATTTTGTTAGACTGCTTTAAGAATTGGCTTTTATTATTTGTGTACAAACTGACACTAGCAGATTTGATGTGAAGACTATATTAGAAGCAGCACGCACACACAGAGCTCTGCAACATCACAAAATAAATTCTATGTATTTAGCTTTTTTAAAATTTCAGTTGTGTCTTGTATCTCTTCCATAACACTGAGAAAAAAAATGTTTTAGAGTAACGTTTAATTGTCACAACAATGCATTTTTCCCCCTGTATATCCATGCAGTATCGTTTATGCAGAACTGTGGTAACTTCATTTAATCCAAGACTCTCTGGTTCATACACCAAACAAACTTCAAAGTGTATAATGAAACCTACTTCATCTTTGTGAGTCCTGAGATGCAATTAAAACTGTCAAGATTCATCCAATGACCTACACTCTATATATGTAGATATAGATAAAAGCTTAGCTTGCAATGCCATATTTTTGTCCAATCACAGAGAAGTTACACCTCTGCTGTAAGTAAATTACTCACACTCTGCTAATTATCCCTGCTCTTGGCAGATTAGATTGGTCAATATTAAAATGAACTGGTGCTCTGATAGTAAATTAACACAAAATTGCCCACTCTTGGACACTTTTACACATAGCAACATCATGCTAATTTGTTCTGCTTTGTAGAAGTAGTCATGATCTGCAGCTTAAAATATGCTCACTACATGGTGATGAAACTCTCATTCTCTGCATTTTCACATCTGTTTGTTTTTTCAGATGTTTTTTTTCTGTTTTTTACATCTTTTCGGGACATTACTGAGGGGATGAAACTTTTAGATATATTTTAAAGTATTTGAACACCTGCTTTTTCCTTCCACTTCATGATCCTGAGACTAATTAAGGTTCCTCCACTACCCCGTAGGAAATAGGTTAACACATAAATAAATAAATAAGAGAAGGAAAAAGCATGAGCTGAATGTTAACAGTCTGTTGTGCCATCTTGATTAATTATAGCAGAGATGAAAGAATTTTCTCCAACAAAGGTTCATGACCAACATGAATCATAGGAAGATCACGATGAACTCTGACAGTTCCATCATCATAGAGCTGAGCTTCATCTGACATGTCTGTGTACTCCAGGTATTGTACACACACGAACAGATAGATAGATAGATAGATAGATAGATAGATAGATAGATAGATAGATAGATAGATAGATAGATAGAGAACCCAATGACAAATGAAAGCACCAATCAATGTGAAGGTCTTTAAGATATTGAGTGAAACAGTTGATTGGAGGCAGAGAGCTAACTGCATGTGTGGTATTTGAGGTGTTTCAGATTTTGCCTGAAATCTCTTCACTGTCTGATGACATGGGGAGTCACATACTGTAATGAGTGACACAAAGGTTAATTAGGTGCCTCCTTCAACAACCAGCTTTTCAGCGAAACTCTCACCACTACCAGATTCATAGTGTTCATAGACATAGAAAATAACCTTGACACACATTGAAATTTGGTTTACAGAGAAAAATTGGCAAATCCCAACCTGATTCCCTTAACATACACATATAATCTCCTGTGTCACCTCTTCCGGGGCCTCCTAAGGGCAGATAGAAATTACTAGTTGAAAAATTCTCCTCATTTAATTCATTATTTGGCTTGGCCTAATTCTGTACAATCTGAATCTAAAACACTGAATAATTTAAATTTAAAAGGGATTTCAGTTTTTACTGAAAGCTGCACAAAAATGGACTCTTCTGTGAAAAAATAAATCTCTGTAACCCTGAAGTAACCTCAGCTATGATTCACCCAATTGGACCAAATTAAAAGCGTATGAGCACTGGTGGGGAATTCCTGGTGCACAAATCTAGTAATAGATCAAAAATGTAAGAAGTCATTGCTGCACACTGTGTTCTAAAAAGTTACTACATAAATTTTTCACTCAAAATTCTCAAGTTCCGCTGAAGTTCAGATGATATGTAACTTTTGACAGTGTACTTTATCTATAAGTACTTTAGGAATGCTGAACACAGCCAATTGTTGTGTTCTATTTAGATTTACTGTTTCAATTGTTGAAAGTATACCCTCTGTCAATTCTATAGTTTTACATTTAGGACATAATAAAAAAAATACAGTCCTCACCAGGTCTGAAAATTAGGTACATAGAGCATCTGATCAACAAAAACTTGACTTACTTTACACTGTGTCATTTTTGGTTTTCATGGAACTCAAATTAAACCAACGTACCGAAGCAGTGTGTGAAAAACTAAGTACACCCCATGACGCAGTAGGTTGCAGAACAGCTTTTAGAAGCTCGAATTAATCATTTTCTGTGTAACTTTATCAGTGTCTTACATTGTTGTGGAAGAAAATTGGCTGACTCTTCTTTAGAACATTGCTTCATTTATACATGTCTCACTTAATGTCCCAACTTTCTTTTCTTTTTCAGCCATAATGTTGGAGACTTCTTGGTGTGTATACAGAGGAGTTACACTAAATGACTGTAAGGTTCTCAGGCCTTGAGGGTGCAGACAAGCCAAAATCATCACACTTCCACCAGCGTGCTGGATAATTGGTATGATGTGTTTGTGCCGGTATGCTGTGTCAGGTTTTTGCCAAACGTGGCGCTGTGCGTTAGAGCGAAATATCTCCACTTTGGTCGTGTATCCAAAGGACATTGTTTTAGAAATCTTGTGACGTTTACACGGAACTTTGCAAACCTTAGCAGTGTGCCATATTCTTTTTAGACTGAAGAGGCTTGTCCAATCTTTTTTTTTTTTATTGTGTCATCATCAGTGTTGGGTAAGTTACTTTAAATTAGTAACTTAGTTACATTACTAGTTACTTCTATCAAAAGTAACTCAGTTATTTCAAGTTACTTGTTACTTTCAAGGTAACAGTTTTATTTACTGTTATATTGTTTTTATATTCCCATTTTCTGTGTTGTAAAGCACTTTGTGATTTTTATCTGTGAAAAGCGCTATATAAATAAATTTTACTTACTTACTTACTTACTTACTTACTTACTTACTAGTTACTAGGGAAGGTAACTTTGGTTTTACTGAGAATTCTCTTGTTAATGTGTTGCTTCTGTAACTGGATACCCAGCAAGATTGCCAGTCTTCTAGCTTGCTTACTTGCCACAAATGCACTGTGCCACCTACCAATAGAAAGGAAAAGATAATGTGCATATTTCCACGAGAGAAATCCCACACCTGGACTGTCGTTGACCGCCGCCATGATTCTAGCCTACGTCACAGCGTCATGTGCGCTTTTTACATCCAACACAAAAACTGCAGTCGTGGTGCTTTCAATTGTACTCAGAACGCGGAAATTCTGCCTTCCGAATAGGAAGATGTAGGCAACACCAGACTGCAGATGAGCTGCATACAGAGCGGGACTGGGACAAAAAAATCGGCCCGGGCATTTTGACTAGAGAACGGCCCACCATTATAGGAAAAATCATAAACCCTTTGAATGAAAACAAATGCTGTTGTGACAGTGATGTACACTGTTCTGATGGTATATATGTATCTGTATATGTATATGGTCAGAGGGCCCGGTGGCGCCAGTGTTCGGCAGCCTCGCCTCTGTCAGTGCGCCCCAGGGTGGCTGTGGCTACAATGTAGCTTGCCATCACCAGTGTGTGAATGTGTGTGTGAATGGGTGGATGACAGGTTGTGTAAAGCGCTTTGGGGTCCTTAGGGACTAGAAAAGCGCTATACAAATACAGGCCATTTACCATATGTATCAATCTATCAATCGTTTGTTGTAAAATTCAGATAATTATTTTTTAAAAGCCAGACATTTCGGAAGCTGGTCATAGACATTATTAACACAATTCATCATATGGAACTGATTACCCTCTCACTGCAGCTACAGAAGGAGAAAGGAGAGAGACTTTGGGAACGATGGGATCGTTATATGTCAAGAGACTAGAAACTGATACCTCTGTGATGCAGAGGGACAGCTGCGAATTTGTTTGAATCGAACATGCACCTGTGTAATATGTAATATGTGTAAGTAAAACAAGGCGTTGTGTATTTTGGAATATGCGAACATATGTGACTGTGTTGGTTTCCCTTGCCCTCTTTAGTTCTGTTTGTAAAATAAGATGAAAATCAATAAAGAGAAAGTATTAAAAATTAAAAAAAAAAAAAAGCCAGACATTTTAAATGAAAATAAGCAAGAAAAGTATTTATTTGTGCCCCCATCTCCCTGTTAATGCCCTATCTGGCCCCCTGGCAAAACTTTGCAAGACCCACCCCTGCACAGTTAACAGCTGTCAGCTACTTAGAAAAGGATCCTGGTGTTATTTGTCTCTCAGAAACAGTTCATAACTTCCCTTCAACTCATTCATGTCACCTTAAAGGTAAACCTGTTTCTCCATCACCTGTTCAGCTCTGATGATTCAGTAAGGACATCTCCTGGTTTCATCCTCATGCTTCCTTCTCACCAGATAACCAAACCGATATCATGACCAGCAGCTTTTACGGCTGTGGCTCCAGCAAACATCAGCTGATACTAGAAATTAATATTAAATAAATTCTAACAACAGCTGATCAAGCTTAAACGCGCTGCTGTTATTTAACTCGACCTCCACTGGTTTCTTCTTTCTGGCGCAAAGTGGTCGATAAACAAACAAGAGAGAAAAGCCGATCAGCTGATCATTGATCAGTTTCATGATTGAAGTAGAAACGGGAGAGAGAGGGGGAGAGAATGAGAGAAGAAGAGGCAGCTGTGCAGCAAAGACACAGAATAAATCCAGCTTTGTGTCTTTTTCATTGTAGCTGAAGTCCGGGACAAACTGTTCCTTTTCACCTAAATACGAAACGCGTAATATTTTCTCTGAATACGAGACGATTCCGTTTTTTACAGGACGGTTGGCAACTCTAATAATTAACCTTATGAATAAAATAAAGTTCAACATCAGTAACATAGCACCCACCCAGCTGTATAGAAACTCCTTCATGCTAGCTAGTACGCAGTACGAAAAAGTCAGCATAACAAAAATAAACTCCACCTAAACTTGGTTTATATCTGACCCAGATAGACTGCAGGTCATAACTTCTTACCTGAAGTTCAGTTCACCTGACACTCGGACCGGCGGCCACTTCAGGTCTGTCCTCTTGCCTCCCCTTTTCCTCATCCACCTGCTGGCCTCCACCACTTGCTAATGTTACTGAATCTGTGGAAGCTCTGCGAAAGCCACCACACGAAGTAATGAATAACGACCCTATCTAAATCCCAGTAACGATTAACGAGTTCCTGACTTTGGCACAATAACCAGTTACTGTGCTCGTTACCACAATAATAACATAGTTAATGTAACAAGTTACTTAATAACGCATTAGTCCCAACACTGGTCATCATTAACTTTAACAGTAAACTTGCTAACTGAGGCCTGTTGTGAAATAATACAGCCAAATCCTAAGTAAAACAAGGGGGTTACTGTGCCATCCCTTCAGAGTCAAAGTTATAGAGTACATTATGATCATGATTAATTCCCAAAGTCTGGTATCTATTACAGTTTGCTGCATTTTGTTGTTTTTTTCCCAGTAGGCCTACCTTTCCACCTCAGCCACTCTGTCTTTTCAGGCAAACATTGATAGTGCCCTGTGTACAGGTTTTTAATAGCTATTTTGTGGACAAAGAAAGATTACAATACAGTATCTGTCTTGGAGGCTGATGCATTTTGACATTTGTTGCTTTCCACAACGAGATTTTGATCAACCCCAAATGCTTTTTGAACACATTAACACTTTTACAATATCCAGTAGCAATCTGTTAAATTCAGTTGCAGTGTATTAGTTGTAAATGGCATATAAATGGCAACATGTAGACTGTTTGCTGCAAACAGCAGTCTTAGGTGTCAAATATATTTTGTATGCCAAGGTATCCACCCTGTAGCACCACTGCATCACTTTACCTCCAATTCCGAGAGAAAACAATCATTCACACGGTCACGATAGATCACTTGTCAGGAAAACAAACATTAAACATTTGAACAAATGACTGGTGTTGCTGTTTTCTTTGGAGGACAGTCCTTCTGTGCAGCTAACCATCATATTCAGCTATTTCTTTTTGATTTTCAAGTTTAAGCAGTTACTTCTGAATAGAGCTGCCAGTAAGTAGCATTCAGATGTGACACTTGAAAATTAAAATAGAATAAAGAAGAAGAAATGTCATTATTCTTTTTTTCGGCTTTTGGTAAGACGGACAGCCAAAAGATTGAATCATCGAGCACCTTGAAGTGTACTTTAGTTTGTTTCTGCATGTAGAACTGTCAAACTATTCCATGAAAAAGATCTTCCAGCACTGAAACTGTGTTATTTGTATAATTCTTCTCCACACAAGTCTGTCGTTTAGAACAAAGAATGAAGCACTAAAGAAAAAAGACAATATTATTCACAAACTTGAGTTGATGGAAACATCATCATGTTCATGAAGGACATGTGCAGTGCTTTAAACTACATACATACAGGGAGTGCAGAATTATTAGGCAAGTTGTATTTTTGAGGAATAATTTTATTATTGAACAACAACCATGTTCTCAATGAACCCAAAAAACTCATTAATATCAAAGCTGAATGTTTTTGGACGTAGTTTTTAGTTTGTTTTTAGTTTTAGCTATTTTAGGAGGATATCTGTGTGTGCAGGTGACTATTACTGTGCATAATTATTAGGCAACTTAACAAAAAACAAATAAATACCCATTTCAATTATTTATTTTTACCAGTGAAACCAATATAACATCTCCACATTCACAAATATACATTTCTGACATTCAAAAACAAAACAAAAACAAATCAGCGACCAATATAGCCACCTTTCTGTGCAAGGACACTCAAAAGCCTGCCATCCATGGATTTTGTCAGTGTTTTGATCTGTTCACCATCAACATTGCGTGCAGCAGCAACCACAGCCTCCCAGACACTGTTCAGAGAGGTGTACTGTTTTCCCTCCTTGTAAATCTCACATTTGATGATGGACCACAGGTTCTCAATGGGGTCCAGATCAGGTGAACAAGGTGGCCATGTCATTAGTTTTTCTTCTTTTATACCCTTTCTTGCCAGCCACGCTGTGGAGTACTTGGACGCGTGTGATGGAGCATTGTCCTGCATGAAAATCATGTTTTTCTTGAAGGATGCAGACTTCTTCCTGTACCACTGCTTGAAGAAGGTGTCTTCCAGAAACTGGCAGTAGGACTGGGAGTTGAGCTTGACTCCATCCTCAACCCGAAAAGGCCCCACAAGCTCATCTTTGATGATACCAGCCCAAACCAGTACTCCACCTCCACCTTTCTGGTGTCTGAGTCGGACTGGAGCTCTCTGCCCTTTACCAGTCCAGCCACGGGCCCATCCATCTGGCCCATCAAGACTCACTCTCATTTCATCAGTCCATAAAACCTTAGAAAAACCAGTCTTGAGATATTTCTTGGCCCAGTCTTGACGTTTCAGCTTGTGTGTCTTGTTCAGTGGTGGTCGTCTTTCAGCCTTTCTTACCTTGGCCATGTCTCTGAGTATTGCACACCTTGTGCTTTTGGGCACTCCAGTGATGTTGCAGCTCTGAAATATGGCCAAACTGGTGGCAAGTGGCATCTTGGCAGCTGCACGCTTGACTTTTCTCAGTTCATGGGCAGTTATTTTGCGCCTTGGTTTTTCCACACGCTTCTTGCAACCCTGTTGACTATTTTGAATGAAACGCTTGATTGTTCGATGATCACGCTTCAGAAGCTTTACAATTTTGAGACTGCTGCATCCCTCTGCAAGATATCTCACTATTTTTGACTTTTCTGAGCCTGTCAAGTCCTTCTTTTGACCCATTTTGCCAAAGGAAAGGACGTTGCCTAATAATTATGCACACCTGATATAGGGTGTTGATGTCATTAGACCACACCCCTTCTCATTACAGAGATGCACATCACCTAATATGCTTAATTGGTAGTAGGCTTTCGAGCCTATACAGCTTGGAGTAAGACAACATGCATGAAGAGGATGATGTGGACAAAATACTCATTTGCCTAATAATTCTGCACTCCCTGTATATGTACAAATGCAGGATTGGCACATGCCTTCTTATCTACCAAACACTGCCTAAATAGCTTTCTCTCTCTAGCTTTGATTATCAGTATTCTACATGCAATAAACTCTACTGTATATCCTTGATATACAAATACTGTGCACCCTTCCTTATGGTTTATAATTCAACCAAATGTTCATTGCTCAACATAAAAAAAACCCCTATAGCTCTGCAGCACCAGGCCTGCAGAGCTATAAGCGGACACCTGTGCCTACTACTTCTGTCCACATTGCTCATTTTGATCCAGTTTTGAGTTCCCTCCCCAGACGCCTTAACGCCCACTCACATCCTGGGCCATCTGACCTCAGGAATTCGCACGATAAGGTGGGGCCAGGTTTCACAATGAGCTCACCCGAAACCCTGGCTGATTGGGACCCACACCCATTTTCACACCTTGGCTCAGGCGATTAGAGAATCATCAGGGGTCCTTTTGTCTCTCTTTGGGGGGATACTCCCACTAGGTTTAAATCTGGGACTCCCCACCATTTGACCTTAGAACTGAAGAAGCTTCTCGGATAAGAGGTGAAACGTCTTCAAGCAACTTAAAGAAGTCCAGACGCTTTTCTTGGCAAGCTCCTTTGACAAGGGGGTTGTTTATTTTCCTCAACCCGTTTGAAGCAGATTTTTTGAAGGATTTTTCCTCTCTTTTAAGGTGATAAAGTTTTTAATAGACATGTTGCGGAAGTCCTCCAAAGTACACATTTCGGCTGTTTTATTCAGTGGCTGCAGTGGCTTAGTGAGCTCAAATAACCTGTCCAAAAGTCATTGCCAGAAAAAGAGCTGCTGAAGTTAGCTAGCCGTTGTGCCTAGCATACAATATTGTTCACATTTAAAGTCCTCATTTTTTTATATCTTCATTTGAAGCTTGACTTTCTTACATTGGCCAGTGATCTCATTAACTTAGACTTGCTGCTGCTTAAATTGCTTTTGCTTTACTTTTTTCTAAACTTCACCAACCCTTTTTGATTTGCTAATGTTGTTTTAACTTATTGATATGGATAGCATGCTATGGTGAAACTGCTGTGAAAGCAAAACCAAGCTGGCTTCCATTAGCACACTCGCTGGTAAACATGGTGGTTCGCTGAGTTATAACTGTGGCATAATTTTAGTGTTCAGTCAATCAGTTCTTTTTTGTTAGGGAAAGCCAACATGGCCTGACCTTCTGTGGACATGTGGAGATGCAATACCATGTTTCCCCACTATGTCTAATGCATGACATTCAGAGTCACACGTGTCTGTATCTTCACACACACACACAAATGTACTGTATAAAAGACTGAATGATTATAAATTTCAATAATAAATTCCCCTCTCACTCCTACAGGCGGTCTATCCTTCCGGCCCAGTTCCTCTACCAGAGGCCTGGGAGCTTGAGGGTCCTGTGCAGTATCTTAGCTTTTCCTAGGACTGCACTCTTCTGGACAGAGATCTCCAATGTTGTTCCCGGGATCTGCTGGAACCACTTGTCTAGCTTGGGAGTCACCGCACCTAGTGCTCCGATTACCACGGGGACCACTGTTACCTTCACCATCCACATCTTCTCAAGCTCTTCTCTGAGCCCTTGGTATTTTTCAAGGTTCTCATGTTCCTTCTTCCTGATGTTGCTGTCATTACAATCACTTCCGGCGCTGCTCCGAGCTGGCAGCCAGTATCAGCAGCTCAAACCTGATCGAGTTATTTTTTCTCTTTTTTTTGTTGTTGTTGTGTTTCTTGTTCTTGTGTTTTTTTATTGTGGACTGTACTACTCCACAATGGAGCTCAGAATTTTATGGACAATCGTGCTTTTTATCACATTTTTTACAGCATCTGTGCCCGGAGAGCGCGTGGAAGTTCGACCGCCCATTGTTTACAGCAGGGATCAGCTGTTAGCCCTCGGGGCCTCCGCTGTTCTGCCTACCGCCGAGTGAGCCAACATCCCCCGCGAGGTGAGGAGGAAGAGACGCGGCACTCGGGCCAGGATCGGGCATCGCAGTAAGGTTAGTAGGTATCGGGCCAGCGATTCTATGGGGAACGTGAGATCGCTCCCTAA